TATTCAGAAAATAATTCAATAAAAAACTTATTTTCAACCCATGGGAGATCTAACAAGTGAATTATGCAAAAATTTGATAAGTGGATTGAAATTAAAAAAAGTTATATTGTCATTAAAAAAAGAAAAAAAAAATATACTTTGATTACTAAACTGTAGAGATAAGGATAAACAAAGAAATCAGACTGAAGTAATGCATAAAGTTTTACAGTTATGTGCAATAAAATTTTGATTACATAATTCGTTACATGTACTTTCGAAAAATAGTAAAACATCATTATCATTGAAATATGAAAGCTAATAATGTAATTTACGTTGATTTCGATTTGAAAGTAGTCTTTATGTAAATTCTGTCGAGTTATAAGCACTGAGAGAAAAGTAATAGCTAGTCAATTTATATAGGGATTTGTAGTTGTGAGTTAAACATGAATAAAGTTTTGTATAGCAGGTAGTCATTTTAGTTGGCAAATGAAATTAAATGAATATCTTATCAGTTGGTTAGCATATTCTGTTGTATTTAATATAAAAGATCTTGTTACAATTTTTATTCTAAGTGTACTAGGTAAGGATGATAAATCAACTGATGAAGTAAGGAATCTTGTTCAGTTTAAGTGGTTGGGACATGTGTCACGTATACCTAACCACCGACTATCTCGATGAGATGTTGTCTGATGTAGGCGTAGTCTGGAAGAAAACTAGAGGCAGCACAAATATCTGAAGTGATTGACAACTGGACTGATCCATGTTAATACATACTGACTTTCTGATTGGGGTTCAAAAGATAATGGTAACCGCTGGTTACAGAGTTTGAATGATATGGCTCAAAATCGTTTGCAGTGGCAAGGATGCATCCATTCTTTGTCTTCTCTCAAATTCCAATCTGAATTTATGTTACTGGATTATACTTCTCAGAACATATCTTCGAACCCTATTCTTTTCGATTACTGCTATTACCTCTACCAATAAGGAATTCGAGTTGACAATTTGAACTCAGTGTGCTTATTAGGTATGACAACTTGAAGTGACGTACATACCCACGAAGCTCTACGTTGTTGCTGACTGACTGCATATCATAGAATTCTTCGAAAAGTATGGAATATTTATCAAATTTTCACAGAAATATTCTTAAACTACCAGTTATTCTTGCACCGACAATATCAAAATTTCTCATTAAATTGACCAATTGTTTAGGATTATCAGGTTAAACAAACAGATTCTTTTTTAACAATATTGTATATTGGACCTCAATTGAAATAGAGATTCTTCAAAAGATTATCTAAGTAGAAAATCTGATTACTAAATTGTAAGGCGTCCATTCACTGTCCTAATTCGATTGCCCAACCCATTGTATATGATAGATTTGACAAATAACCCAAGTATCGCTTTAAATTTATAAATGAAGAATAATCTGTAACTTGTCAAATATTTTTGTATTTAGGATAATGAACTGATATGCATGATGTGATGAAGCAATAGTGGGTAAGACCTATTTTACAGACAGATTTTTTAATAGGTAACTATCATTCTAGTGCGGATTGTGAAGATTCTTGTACCAGGACAAAATAGTCGTCCAATGCTTCTTGACTTTTATTAACCATCCAACACCAATCTAATATTAACTATAAAATTCCGTATAGTTTGTATGTAGTATTGTATCGACTAGACTCTTAAAAAAATCATACTCATTGAAACATTATATATGATGTCGATGTTCGAATTCGGAAACCTATAAATTATTAGTTACATACTTTGACTAGTTGAGCAACGAAAATTGGTTATTGATCAGAATTTGCAGCCCAGTTGATGAAGAGTTGAATCGTTATTTTAGAAGTTACCGTTTTGAACTTAAATTAAGTAAACATTTGAAATAAGTTAAATTTATCATTTTGATTACAGACAGTCTCAATTATTGATGAGAAAAGCCATTGCTGAAAAACCCGTTTAGCTTAATTTTTAGTACAGGATGAATCAGAGATACAATAGGCCGAATACCCGAAATCGACTCAAATAGTGTTGCATTGATAAGAAAATAGTCATCCTAGGAAATAGTTATTGTTTTCAGATGAATATTATCTGAACAAAGTAGGAATATGGTTTTATTAAGGATATCTGTGTGAAAAAAATAGCCGTAACCTTGTTAGCGGACAGATCGATTGTCTTATCACAAGTTCTTGCAGTGGGTATTTTTATTATCTGACTTATTTCTATATACCGACTCTGTAGTATGTATGCATATAAATTTATTGTCTGCAACTTGTTAACCGATTACAAAGGAACTAAGATGGCACAAAACACTTTCACAAATGATCATTGTATGAATGAGTTTTAAACTTTTAACTTCCAAATTCATCAGAAATTTGGTAGACTCTCATAGTTTATCACAAGCTTCATAAGGTTTATTTAGTTTCACTTTGATGTACGACAAGTAATTTTAACATTTTAAATTATGAATATTAAAAAGCGACTGTCGAAAAAATAGTGAATTGTTCCAACTCTAATAATGACAGTGTAAACTAGAAAAATAACTTATTGTATTAAGTATATAGATGAGGTGGAGAGAAATGTTAAAGGAATGCTTAATAAAACTTATCTCTATTCATGATAAGACTGATTTGTCTCTATTTCAAGAAAACTTTAATCGACAAACATTAAGTAAAAACAATTAATTTCAATCGATAGTCGATAGCTTCATCCATAGATGCTACATTCCATTTCTTCAGTCTCTGAAATGTCTAAACTAGTACGATGATAGTTGCAAGTGAACATATGTCATGATAGTTTCAATTTACTCACTTCATTTTCTTTATGTAGTGATTTAGTATTGGTTTAAGAAAAAAACATTTATTTTAACTATTTGGTTGGTTAATTTTTAATTTTCCCGAAATCTATGAATCAAGTAAATTCATGTGACCAAATATAGGCAAGTTAACGCTATAAATTTTAATTGACATATAGGAAAATCAAATGCAATGGCTCAGTTGACTACTGATGAATAGTAAAAAACCATACCAACTTCAAGAATGTTACTATTTTCAAAATTAGATCAGAATTCATACTCAAGTTGACCAATTATCAAATGAAACAATTGGATGCATGTATGTTACTCCTTACAATTGAAACAGATATAAACCAAAGTGAGCTCTGAATTCTCACTTAAACTTTTGGAATTGAAGACTTCAGCCGAAAAAATTTCTAGTCTATTTGTTTTGCTGTTGTAAGAATAATTTATCACAGACATTGCCTTTAAAAACCAACCAATATGTATTTCTGTAAAACAAATACAAGATTTTTGACAAATTATTAGTTAGAGGGTAAAGATAAGCAAAAGGATTCACAGTGACGAAAATGTTGAAAAAAACCAATAAGTCGGTAATTCTCGAAAACATTCATGATCATAAGGATTAATATGAGAAAAAAAAATCAAAATTGATGTCTGCTAACTTTTCATAACGGAACAGGGAGCTATGTGAAGTGATATCGAATGTTATAATCAACAATTTACAACACTTTCAATCGTCCAGCGAACACAGGGAACCATCAATGATTGCCATGTTTGGTAACAGCAAACGGAATATAAATAATCAGTAACACAATTTCCAATATTCAGAAAATAAAATATTCATTTCCGCTAACATTAGCCTTATTATTTGAAGTATCCAAAAGGAGCTCAGGAGGAATCAATAAGCAATTGAAGAAACAAGGAACAACATTTCTGACACTTAAAAGCGACTTCATATGAACTGTGTCTATCTCTTTTATGCGACGTGGTCTAATGATTGTTGCCACCAAGTTGTGCTACCTCACATAATTCAGCTAGAATAGGAACATAGCTTACAGTCCATATCAATAGCTTCATAGGTTGGCATCTTGATACATAATTTTCTGATTTAATCCTACTTCAGCTGATATTAGATGTTGCATGTTAACAACGTAATTGCATGATAAATAGCTGTTATTTTTTTTGAAAGGTCACCAACAATACTAATTACTGGCTTTGTTGTTTTCCAGTTTCGCTACACCTAACTTCACCGCTACTTTCGCAGTAGTTTTATGACATGAGAACATTTTCCAATTGGCACAGGTGATCAGAAACAAAAAGTTACATATTATTTGTCTAGAAAGGTAAATATCAAGGCCACAGAGCATACAAACCGTACTTTTCACCTATGAATCATGATGAACATTTGGGGAGTTAAGAGGTGTGAAAATCAATGTAAGTTAGGTAATTCCAATTAAGCTCTACCAAAACAACACATATCCACAATTAGTCAGTTGGAGTATACAAGTTAGTTTATTCACTATCTATCTAAGGCTGAAGCACTCTGTACCAAATAAGAGCAGCACTGTTATTACATGACAATAAGTACATAAAAGTAAAGGATTATTCCCAAGTAGCAAGAATCAGTTCTTTGACTTATGTTGAACAACCACGTATCATAACTAATATTTCCTGGTCACATTAATAAATTTAAGAAACTGAAATGTCGGACATTCGTCTTATTCTCAACGTAGCATTTCAGTCAGTACGATATCGGTTTTATGTTTTCTAGTGTAACATTACTTCAGTCAAGTGTTTATGCCGTGTAAATTTCGCCTCGTATGACAATTGTGAACTTTTGCCCGACATGACAATTATATTCTTTGTACTAATCCATGTGAACTGTATTTGTGTTTTACAACAGCCTTGTGTATCTTTTCGTTTATAGGATGTTCATTAATGAATAATCATGTGTGTGTGTAATATATAATACAGAAATAAGTGTATTCGATTTACCGACGACGTGATTCTCAACTTGTTTTAGGGATGTGTTTTTGAAGAGTCAATAAATCTTTATAGCATCAGCATTTTGATCTTATTTCGCGCCGTGGGATGTACAGTGGTTCCTATTTCCAAGTATAAGTAGTAGCATAGCAGTTACAGCTTGACCGACATTAGAGGAAATCCAAATATAACAAAATCCTTGATATTTCCCAATACAAAAAATCACAAATATTATATTTTTATTTTATTTATCATAATATAACAAAAAATACATGATATGTTGAACAGCTCAATCAACAAATCATAATACAATTTGAAACTTAGCCAGTTAAGCATTTATTAACTAAGCAGAAAGTTTGGATATAAAAGTTTCTTAAAAAAAGGAAAACAACGGAATCTTACAAATTACGAAGACTATTTACAAATAAAAATGCATTTATTATCAACACCATAATACTAATTACAATTATCTGATTCATCTGAATGATCAACTTTTGTATTAGTTGTTGTTTTTCTGTTGTTAGCATTTGCTAAAGCACCAAAATAAACAGTTAAAGCTTTACTTTTAAAATTAATCAAGTTCAATTCAAATTCAATGTCTAACGAATCCATCATTATTTGTTTAATACATTTGACTGAGATTTCCAAAAAATCTGCCATATTTGTATTACGAGGTAAAAATAACGCTACATTCCCATTGGTCAATACTAGAGCTAAATACAAAGCACACCATAAATCTGTGTTGGAATTATGAAATTTTATAGATGATAAATTAAAACTTTCAAGTTCCAAATAATTAGGTCCACCCCATGGTGGTGACATTAGAGCAGCAATGTATCTAGTGTTATTTCTCATACTAGATTGAGAAACAATATTTGATTGAACCTGCTTCCATGCCCAAGTGAAATAATCTTCACAAATAAATTCAATAAGATGACGAACGCCATAAATTTCTGCATTATGTGCAGCCATTGAAATACGAATTGGATCAGATTCAATTGCAATCACTAAAAGAGGTGGAAAAAAAGAGCAAATTTTACAATCTAGTTTAAAAAAGTTGTCAGCTTTTTGTTGTCTGAACTACAAATAAAAACTTGTGATAAATATAATAAAGTGGTTGACCAACATGACAATTCAAGTTAGTCGACTAGTAAGATGTCATAGCTATAGTAGAGTAGATATATTTACAAAAAAATTACAGAAAAAGTACAGTTGTCCTACTCATTTAGACCAGCATGAATATTTTATTCGGACTGCCTGGACCTTGGATAAATGATGTGTTAAATAGTTGAAGACGTTTCACTGTAATCGTCCGTTCTACAGTTCTAAACACTGATTCAGTGACTTTCGTGAACTAAAATAGTCAATTGTTTTCAACTACTAAATAAACTATCTTAAACCTTATTTTATAGTGGGTGGTAGTGAAATACAAGAAACATGTTTTGTTTTGTTCAGGATTCGTCCGTCAGACATTATAATACATGCTGGTATTCCTTTCGCGACTTAAACCAAGCATCGAACAACTCAAACATTAGTGCTGGCCAGTAGGCTACTGAGTTGTTATGATAAATTTTAGTTTAACAGGTATCAGTTGTTATTGGAGTTCGGAATTTCTTAGCATTTATTCGTAGGATCCTAGTTATCTGTTCTATCAGGCTACTTTTACTAATGTATTGAAATTTTAACCTAATATGTTACCATATAAATGATGGTAAAAGAAAATTAGTGTTACTTCCGCTTTATTATTGTTGATTCTGTATTTGGATCCTCGGCCATTAGGTGTTCAAGTCTTGGTCAGAAAATTGGGTCCATCATCAGAGAGGAAAATGAAGTGAATCAACAAGGACAATTAAGACGCAAATCTGGGAACTCAACAAACTGTTTCTCGCTCATTTGAGGTGAATTTCCTGATCATATATTAGTAGTAATAAACAAACGAACGCAGAAAGTAATGCAGGTTAGATAGAGAATGAAGAGAGCTTCAACTTTATAAGAGAATATTAGAGGTTGGACATCTGTCGCTCAATAAGTTGAGAAAATAGAGTGGTGATTAATCACAAGAATTTTTACTAAAACTTGAGTTCGGGGCACGAATAGAATTACCTGACCTATCAGTAGACATCATATGTGATGTAATATAAATGACAATACAGTTAAGTAAATGGTTAGGACCGTTGGTCAGACAAAAACTGAAATTGTCAATTTTGACGAAACGCCTTCCAAGTTTTGCACACCAACTAATAAATCCAAAACGAATGTTATGAATAAGATCAGTGGTTAGTGTACTTGTTACTTTATTGCGAAGGAACAGCAAGAGAAGCGGTAGAACAATGTATTATGCTGCCAGGATAATCTTCTCTATTACTGCTAATACTTCTACTATCGCTACCACTATTGGATTTGAACTGACAGTTGCGTCTCTGTTCTGATGCAGTATGGCAACCTGAATTTATGTACTCATGTACGAAGTTCTACATTGTAATTGACTGACTGATTATGCTACCAGGTGAAGGATACAATAAAGCAATGGGAGTCCGTGACTTCATTCTGTCAGGCTCTTCAGTGGAGTTATTGGTAGGCTCATTCCAGCGCCTAGATGTAACAGGATTACAAAGGCTTGTAGGACAAATGTAAGATTCTGAGGTGGTCTTGTTACAAATGGACTGAGCAGCAGATTCAAAATGTTTCATCAAGATAAACAAATGATCCAGAGACAACATGGAATTCCACAACATAAACGAGAGTAAATTGCTGACAACTTCCTGGTGCGGGATCAGAGCGTAACTTAGATGACTCACTTGAGTTTACAAATAAAACAAATTGCAGGTTTTCGACTTGGGATTTTACGCGTAACTTGATCGCTTGGTCGGAAAATTCAAACGGATCCTCCAACTAAGACCTTCATTTTTAGCAACTAACTACATATTATTTACAATGCTGTATTAAGAGGATGATATACAATACCACTATACAATATTTGACAAATGCAATAAAAATTTTATTCAGAAAATGTATAAGACATTACCTCGAAATCCACGTAAAGCGAATTGTATGGCATTTGATCCGGTACCACAGAATATGTCCAAAATTGTGTGACTACCTTTCGTCTGAGGTGTAAAAACTCGATATATACGTTTGGCCTGATGAGCAGCAATTACTTCAGGAGTAGCACTGAATAATGAATCTAAAAGGGTCATTAATTAAATAAAAAGCAACTAATTGCAGCATTCACTAATATTATTCATTCAAAATTTATTATTTATCTATTTGATTCAAGTATAGTGAAACTAGTTCATCAAAACAAACTCACCACAATCAACTTGGATCCCAGAATCAAAACGAGAGAATAAACGAAATCTTTGAGCCCAATATTTATCCATTGAAGGATCAAAGTTAGCGCACATCAAGTGGTTGGATTCACAAGTTAATTTAGGTACAGGTGGGTTATAACGCCAAAAGAAGCGACAGTTGTATAAAAGGGCTAAAAAGACAACAAATTTTAAACAAAATGCATTTTCTGTTCTGTGAACGAAGAAAAGTGGTTTCATAATTCAAGTGTGTAAGGAAAGACAAGTCAACACATGAACTAAAACAGGAAATAAGAGTGAAATAGTAATGAATTAAGCATTGTGAACATAGTATATCAGTCATACTAAATGTATGAATAAATATACTAACATTTAGATAAAAGTGATGATGAAGTTTCGTTCTCAGATGTGCAAATTTTCTCTAGCATCCCAGAATTGAGTATCATACTATTGTTAAGCTTAGGTAGTTGATCGTCTTTGTGATTCTTCTTGGATATGCAAGATTATTAATCAGACGGGGACGAAACAGCACCATTATACAACTAAAAAGACACCAGATATGCGATGTTCAAACCTTTCATTCAAATATAATTCAGGGGTAATCCCAACTCAATGAAATACATTATAGCGGTAGAGATAATTCATTATTTCCATATCACTACAAACTAACCAAACATCATTACAATAACAGCAGTTATTTCATGAAACTATCAACGAAAAAGTAATCACAGAGTTAATCTACTGACTAACCACTGAGTAGTAATAAGCATAACATCTATTTAGTGCTGATGGAATTTTATCGATGAAGTGTAAGTGACTCAGTATTACGTACATTATGTTTAGATGTTAGGTAGTTGGAGATAGTTGGCCCGAAACCCTATGTCTAAGTTTCGTGGTGGTTGGTAGTCTTTAGTAAGACGAACTTGTAACCTTTTGATTATCCTTTTAGGGTTTAAAAACAGGAGTCACCTAGCACCATGTTCTGAGATTTTGCCACCGAGCTACTTGGGTTATGAATTATTTTTGGTAAGACTAAGATAGTTATAATGAAAAAAATACCGACGAAACTAAATTAGAAAGCAATTTCTGGAAGAACAGAGAATATACTTCGGAGAAAGGAATGAAAGGATAAGAAAAAAGAGTAGATAAAATACTAAATTACCCTCTAAGTTGAATGTTGGTGAATTCCAACAACGAGGTAGATTCAGTTCCCATGCGTTCAGTACATGATAACTATGAACATTGAAAACATAAAAAAGATTCGTATGGATATATTGAATGAAAAAAAAACGGATGTATTGAATATGCTATTCATTATATACATGATTACATGGTCCTGACCGAAATAAGAATACCAAAACTCCGTAAACTGAATAAATAATAAATATAAATAAATATCATAAATAATAAAATATAGACCAGTTCGATTTTAAAGAGCTGATAAAAACTAGTAGATTCATTAAATGATAACGGCTGGAAGTTGTGACACTAACAACCTTATTTAGTCTGACACTACTTAAACCTTGGCAGATTAACATAAGGCGATGAGATAGCAATGAATTTGATCCTTATCAACATAGGAGATATCAAGAATGAATACTAAAAATCTGTACTGACGATGGAGATGAGTTGATTTCTTATCTGGTTATTTATATTGTATATTCTATTAAAGTTGTTTGATATGTGCTATCAATTTTTTTGCTTTTAGTTAATTGTTGTACTACTGACAGATCAGACACTTTGCAGTGATTCAAACAATATAAGATTAGATGTATTAGACGGATTTTACCGTCAAAATATTATTTGACTGTGCTGAAAGCACCAAGTTGATATTAATATTGCTAGTTGATTAGGCAACGATAATATATACATCTCAAAATAGTACGATATCTGGGGAGTTACACAGAATTCAAGGCCAATGATGACTTGATAGAAAAGTGATCTCAACAGATTGTTATACATTTGCATTGGTGATAAGTATGTAAATGATAAGTAAGTAAATGTATATGATTAAATCACACGGTATTTGACATCAACAATACAATTGACAAGAATACTTATAACAAACAATAAATAAAATTGGATCCAAACTATGGACATACATGAGATAGTGATCTAGAAAGCCTTACCTATTGTTGTCATTAAAGTCACTGGAGAACACACATACCATCTCCAACACATAGCACATCCGTGAAAAAACTGATCCTGCACATATATGCGGATCAACCAAACTTCTTAACTCTCCCGACGAACTCATACACAGTGATCCAGAATACTGCATAGATTTAATATCAAGATCTGTGAAGAAAATTGAAACAGTGAATATAGAAAACTTGAAGAATGTCCAAAAATTCTATTAATATTACTGTTGGTTCCAATAAAAATAATCATATTTACAGAAACAGGGACAGTTATCGTTGTGGCTAATAGTGAAATTTATGATGTATGTTTCGTCTTATTTGGGAATAATCAGTTAGATATGCCCACGCCGACACTTGAACCCGATATTATTCGCTTCAGACACCTAACGCGTTATTTACTGAACTGCAGAGTCTAGATAGCTGCTTACTTGCGTAACGGATGTAACAGAATGCATTGGTTAAATTTCGGTTAACAATATTAACAACGGGATCATTGATACACTTTCTAATAATAATAATCATTTATAAAATAGAGAGGGTTGCAAATAATGACTTGTAATGAATTAATATAGTGATATAATGATTTATGGCTGTTTAAAAGCCACCAATAAGGACTGACCAGTTTAGGATTAGTTACTGCTATTTGTAGTTTATTAACGTTTTACTAGTTTGGTAATAAGTGTCTAACAAAACAACTAATATATTATTTATGGGAGTTGATGTAGTACTATGCACGTAGAACTACTTGCAAAACAGAGGATGGTTTTATGTTTGTGTTGACTGTGATTGATCGTCTCAGTTAATGCAAACAGTTTGACCCGATAATGTTTGCTAATAAAAACCAAATTACTGACTGATATCTAAAGGTAAAAAACCAGTTGGCAGAGAATCGACTTTTAACACCAAAATGACACAAAATACTTGGCACAGTAATTAACATAACTAAACAACATTTAAGATACGAGATATGGGTTTTCTACGTAATTCACCAGCCTTTGAAATGAAGATTTGGTTGTCATACATGTGTCTACTCAATAAATATATAGTTAGCAATCCAAAACAAAACCTACTTGACAGACACAGACGCACAATATTTCTCTGTTTTCTTTGTGCAAGATTATTTTTACATTCGCTTGCAAACACTAACAACCATTGGTCCACTTCCTCCTCGTCATCGTAATCAAATGAAATGTCTTCAGACCTTGACAGTAAATAAATTTATGCATTAACAATTGCTTTCCACAAATGATTTAATAGTTGGCTGGTTTATGGATATTACGACGTAAATATTATAATACAGGCTGTTAAGAGAGAACATATGTATTTGTTTGGGTATAAGCCACAAGAAGGTTGTTGATTTCCTTGCATTTCCCGAACCGGAGTGGGTAGAAGGTTTGAACATGGATCATGACAGAGAAAAACTGAGTAGTTTAACCATATAGATCTTGTTATTTTGAAGACCGAGATTTCCAGTAGAACAGACACCGCCCTTATTTGTTACGGAATGCTCACAATACTCCCATCTTTGGCGGTATGACAACACGCATAGAGGATTTTGACGCTAAAAATGACTAAACTTATTGTTTGTAGAATGTTTTACTCATATGATACGATATCGTTATATCGGATACCGACAAAAACAAATACATAAGACTCATACCAAGCTGGATTTAGAAGTCGATTAGGATAAATAAATATAATAATGCAACTGTATCAAAGAATCCCCAATTATGTATAGCAAGCAGAAAAGGTGGTAAATGCCAGTAAATGCTTTAAATCCCAGTGGACCAGTCTGTTCACGAAAACAATTCATAGCTCAATGTTAAAAGACTTGTTCAAATTTAAAATTTGCTGGTACAAGGGATATAACTTAACAACTAACACTATTAACCGTTTACTTTTTGGAGCTGTAGTTTATAGGTAAGGTTCAAATTTAGTTTGAGTCACAAACTAGAACCTTAAAAAGCTGTGGACTGATTAGTAACAGATATCACAATATACTAATGGGATGTAAAAAATTTCAAAGTCCAGAGTGCTAACCGCTACCAGGACTAATTACCATAAACATAAGTGTAATGTTTACAATTCCGCAAAGTGGATTAGTAACCAAGCACGATTTTTTATATTGAGTACTTAGTTACAACTGCTACGTAAGGACTGTAGATAAGAATATCCGGTGTCTTAGTAGTTAGTGCATTTGACTTTTACTCACTAAGTTGTGAAAACCAAAGGAGTTAAAGCTCGAACTTGTAAGTCGAAATTGAATAAGCAGATCACTTAGTCACAGCTCTACCTTTACAAATATATTTCTTACTAACTGAGAAGTAAAAGCGTCAGAAAACTTGAGATTTTTGTGTCACACTTTTCCCTAAAAAACGCACTACGTGTAAAAACAGAAACAGATAATTATCTTAAAAAAACTTTGAGTATTTAAATTTATTACTTTGAAGACTTCGGATTCGCTGATTCTTGTTTGCGTAGCTAAGTAAGTTTGATTAGTTGATAATAAATACACGTAACATACACAACCAAAACTAGTAGGAAGACCCAGTTGTTGCATTTCATCCAATAATTTGCATAATTCATTGATTTCACTACCATCTACACTGCTATTAGTTTCTGAACCAGTATAGGAGAGATCATTTGGGACTGTTCTTTTTTCTACTCGAGAAGTAGCAGCCTGGGGTATGGAATTTCGGGTTTTGAGGTTAGGCTTCGAGCCAGATGATGAAGAGTCACTTTCCGATGTAAGAGAATCAGAATGAAGCAAATGTTTTAATGTGTAGGAAACAGATGAAAAATACTTTTTCGATTGCAGAGGCCGACCGATCGGTGAACGATTTACGTCAGTATGGTAGGTTGGGTGTTGTTTTACTTCTAGAGTGACCGCAGGTTTCTGTTTATCATCACTTTCTTCGGAATCAGAAAAGACTGTGTGCTTTGAAACGACCGTGGGGACCGTTTCGATAAAATTAGATTCGTTTTGTTGATCCAACTTTTTGCCCTGAGGGAATTCAGACACACAATTAGAACTGACTGTGTTGCTAGGATTTTTGCCCGTTTTTGCTACTTCCTTACATGTTCGAAAACCTTTGAAGTGGTCTCTATATAGGATATTAAAAGTATAAATCAACATACCCCAAGAAAGCTCTTGTAAAGAAAAAATTTACGGGGATGTTAACTTCAGAATCAGGGTAAAACCGCCATTGTGATAGACATCGAACATGACGCATATTAGCGAACGTTACAAATGTTTAAATAGTCTTGTAACTCCAGTTAAAAATACTGGACCTGGTGAGTAAAATGAACAGGAAGAATAACACAGTTGTACAGGATGTTTTATGATCTGTACTATGTTAATGATTATTATTTGAGTTAACTATCAGAACCTCTAAAATAAAAAAGTGCCGTAACATTCTTTGACAACCATAGACGGCTATATTGATTATTTGTACAGAGTAAAGTTAAGAACCGCTCACCCTTCTGACTACTACTGCCTGAGTAATTTAAGGTATGTTCTCAGTAAGAGCTTATTGGTATATTTAATTGACTTTTAACTACTGGAAGTTCGAACGAAGGAGTGTCATCATAAACACTCTTATGATGTTTGATTCATAACCAGGTACACAAACCTGCAAGGGTTTCTGAGATGTAAATAAACAGATCGGAGCTAAGCTGTTTACGCAGGTTAAATGGAACAATTATCTCCAAACTATCTTTAGATCAGCGTGGTTTCTCTTAAATTAAATTTCACTTGAATTCAATAACGGTAAAATTGATATACGTTTGAGAACCGGCTACAGTTTAGTAGTCATTTGATTTTCGACCGTACGTTTGTTTACTGAATTTATATAAAAACTATATGCTACGGTTTTATATGCGATGTGGACTTATTGTAATGTAGAAACGATATCATGAGCAAGTATAATATTAAATTAAGTCTAGGGGTTCTGAGACTTATAAAATGTATCAAATCTAATAGCTGCGTGAATCATTATAGTATGACATTCAACGTTCGGAGGTTATAGAAAGGAGAAGAAATCAAAAATAGCTTACACTGGAATAAATATCTTTAACATTAGCACTGAAAATTAGAGAGCATTCAAATATACAAAATCTTTGACTACTTACACATTTTACTTAAGGGGTGAGGGAAGACAGGTTTTTAATAATCTAGCAAAAGTAACCTTCACATTGTTGCTGACTTTTGGCACAAGTGGAATGATGCTATGTAAGGTAGATTATAAGGATATAGGAGTGATATTATGCTACGAACAATTGTGAGGCTGCCACTGCCAAAGGCTTCAGGGTCTTATAGGCTATTCATAAGTCATTTTATTACTTCAGTGAGGAGATGTTTAGGGTACTATATAAAACATCTGCGAGACAGCATTTACAATACGAGATAAAAGCAGCGAGCCGTTGTTTTGTGTATGAAGCTGATATGTTAGAACGAGTTCAATGGCGAGAAACTAGTGAAAGGTCCTACTAACCTATTTTATGAAAACCGGATCAGAAGCCTCAACCTACTTTATTTTATCTTGTTGTAGGTTACGAGGTGGTTTAGTGCTAGCTTATCGTGTACTAAATGGTGATTATGATGCTGATAAACCGCATCTCTTTTTTCTATATGAAACTGATTACACAAGAGGACATTTGTGATTGCAGTCACAATACAGCCTTGTTTAAAGAACTTTATGTGTATTCGACTAGAGGTCGCAAATCTCAATTGAACCGTACCTAGATGTAAGTCCTTGAGACACAGTGTACCACAGCTTACGATCTTAGCTCTAGATAGACTTTTTTGTGTGGGAATGAGTTGCAAAACTTGGCAAGATTGTTTTCAACTTTATTTGTAGATGGTGTCAATGTTAAAAAGACAGGATCGAATTTAAGTGGTAAAACTTAACTTCAATTTGACTCAGGCACACTAGTTTGATAATTCAATTGTTTTGCAGGAAAATTGATTTGAGCAGCAGTGAAGTGATGCGACCCGTCCACCTGAATGCTAATGCTGTACTAGTGATACTACATAAGTACCAACAGTAGTGAGACTTAATGAGGGACGACATTTGAGCGGTGCTAGTTACCTTTAAAATTTCCACTTACTTAGTAGTGTGACAAATTAAAATTTAAAGCTAGACTTCAGCTTTAATTCTAGAATGTGATCAGGCTTTACGCAAAAAATACACCAGGAACTTAGCAGAGTTGCTTCTACGACCAACTTAGTATATCTTTTATTATAGTAAAACACGAATTAACGGGAGAGAAAGTGAAAGTAACGCTCTTACGCTTGAAGAAAAAAATGGAAACTAGTCAACAGAGAAATGCAGAGGATTATAAAATATATAAACAATGATAACCAGATATGCTCGAGGGTTAAGCGACTTTACAAGCTCCACTAAAAATTACCCGCTTTATCCTTCAACGACCTTGAATATTTGGACATTTATCTTTAAATGTAACACTTGGTAAAAATGTCTGAATTACAGTGTTGGACGATGTTAGCGAAGTGTAGGACTAATAATATCAAAATTAAATCCGAATTCGTAATGTTTCACTCATTATTATGAATGATAGTATCTGATAGTATCTGAATGACAGATTATCTGTTAACGAACGACCAGCTCCTGGTTGAGGATGTTCATATCCGCGCTCCAATAGGTAGTAGTGACCATGGCACAGTCCTGTTTAACGTGGTCACAAACGAAACGCTGACACCGGACGATAACGAGCCTTACCTTTGCTGCAGTAGGGCAAACTAGGCACGCATGAGAGAGGTGCTCCTACATGCCTCATGGCCACGGGAGTGGTGGAGTCTGACAGTAGATGATCACTGACAAGCAGTGAGAGATATCATCCAAGACGCTGTCGTAGACAACGTACTTCAGCTACACCCAAAACGCGCGAACAGGAGAACCTGGGTTAGGCGCAGCACGGAACGCTTGCTACAGGCGAAGAGGAAAGTCTGGCAAAAGTGAAAGGTATCCTTGAAGGATTCCGACCGCAGTTCTTAATTGGCATTGAGAAACAGATGCAATACCAAAGTTCGAAGCGACAGGAGACAATTCCAGACGATACTAGCCGCCAGAATAGAGGCAAACCCGAAACATCTGTTTAGGTTCATGTCCAAAAGAAAACCTACTAATCAAGGGTTGTGTTCCCTAAAAGGGGCCGAACGGAGAAGACCTCACCAACCTAGAGATGGCCGAGATCTTCAACACCAATTTTTCTGATCAATTAAACCAGGCGCCTACATGTTCAAAGTATTACGCCAACCCAATGCCAGCTGACGGCCTTGGGAACATCCGTATCACTCCTGATCTAGTATTAAGGAAACTAAAATCCTTACGCCCAGGTAAGTCACCAGGTTGTGACAACATCCGCCCTATAGTCTTGCAACAATGCGCTGAAGCCATCTGTTCCCTGTTATGCAACCTGTTCAGGCATTCACTGGAGTCACACCAATTCCCAGCGGAATGGAAACAAGCTTCTCTCTCTCCAATCTTCAAAGGAGGAAATAGAAAGGACCCAGCCTGCTACAGACCAGTCGCACTACTACCTATATTATCAAAGGTTATGGAAGGACTGGTGGACGAACAAATGAGGGAGTACATTGGTAAGAATAAAATACTCCATGAAGCTCAACACGGGTTTCAGAAAGGCAGGTAGTGTGCATCTAATCTTCTCATCGCATGGGACAGTTGGACATCCTGCTTGGACCGTAAAATACCAGTGCCCGTAGTATTTCTCGACTTCGCAAAAGCCTTTGACACAGTGCCCCATGCACGCCTAATCGAAAAGGTTGTGGAAATAGGCTTCACTGACCCACTCGTATCTTGGCTGAGAAACTACCTTGAGAATAGAAAGTTTCGCACCAAGGTAAACAGGGTGCACGCGATTTGGAGAGTAGCCACCTCGGGAGTTTCACAGGGGACCATCCTAGGCTCACTCCTCTTCCTGATATTTATTAACGAACTGCTAGGCTTAGTTAACTCACCGGCATTGATCTACGCAGACGATGAGAAGATCTGAAGGTCCATTAGAAGCGAAGAGGTTTCGACTGAGCTTCAAAAGGACCTTACATCTATTGAGAAATGGGCAGTGAAAAACGGTTTAAAACTCAACCAACCGAAGTGCCACGTCATGCATTTTCTGCCTCACATGAAGCAAACGACCTATACTCTCAATGGAAGTCCGCTCCCTAATGCCTCCTCAGAGCGCGATCTTGGTTTAATAACCACAGAAAACCTCCACACCAGTCCAAACTATGTAGGTGATGCAGCCAAGGCAAATGCGACTCTTCACTTTATGCAAAGACAGCTTGGTGCTATCACCTTGAAATTATTTTTAACCCTGTTTAAGACGCCCACACTTACTGGTTCAAAACGTCATCGCACCCCCTCTGCTTAAAAGAGACATAAATCTCTTGGATCGAGTGCAGAGACGAGCAACGAAATGGGTGATAGGGTTGAAAAATAAACCCTACGACGATAGACTCCAGCTCTTTGGATTATTCCCACTGAGCTACAGGAGAATCAGAGGTGATCTGATTATGGCGTACACCATATTAAACACGCCAAACCATCCCAATGTGAGCATCTTACCGATGCATAACCACCACTCCCATCGAGGCAGTCCTCGAAGAATGCACATCAAAGAGCAAATACTCAGATTCGTGCACACTTTTTCTCATTGCGAGTCGTCGCAACTTGGAATGCTCTCCCAGCCGAGGTAGTTACGGCTCCGTCAGTGGACTGCTTTAAGAAGAGACTTGATAACCACGTACTCACATACGGACTATCATCTCCCTCTTGGACAAGCTGTTCATGATACATATCTTGAGCCCTGATAGTTGTTACCATTGCCATCTCCTCAGATCACTCAGTGAATCTAGCTCGCCTATTATCTCTGTTTCCTTTCCCCTGCTTACACTTCGGTCCTCTCTCACAATCTTCACTACCAATTAATAAACTAAATTTATCTATATGTTACTCAGTTCTGAAATTTTATTCATATTATCATTTTAATTCTATCCTTATTACTCTCCACATTGCAAATAACTGATTTCCGGTTTGGTAATGTGACGGCTGCTAGTATCCAGAAACCCTACTGCCCTGAAACAGACGTTTCATTCAACTCCCGAGACATTCAAACTCATAATCAACTGACAAGAATTAGACAGTCGAGTGGCTAGACCTCCATCCACTGGACATTACCGAACACCTGGAACCTTACCGAAAGAACAAGAATCGAGCGCGAAGAAATCAAGTTGGTTCTTACTAGCTCGTGAAAAAGATATTTGATGTTGGATATTGAATAACTGTTTGAATAGTTGAGTGTGGGTTTTCAAAATCCGAGGATAAATAGCGCCCTAGTCAAGGAGCTCTATTTAGAATGAGGGCTATCCTGTTAATTATTGTGTTAGTCTATTTTAGTCGTCAAACAAATGCTGCTCAGCCAGTAAGCGATACATTTTTATAATGTTAGCGTTTTTAATTGTATTTTACTTGAAAGGGTCAAAAATGGGGTATTTGTAGTTCAGAATTGGACATAAGCCTTCAACCTGAATTAGCAATTTAGGTTTGAGTTTTATTCTCGAGCTGATATCAGAAGAATTTGATTGGGTCACTGTAAAGTTTATAAGCCTCACTCACGACTTGGTAATTTACAGGTTGTAATTCGTATTGTTAGTTTTTGTCGATAACTTTTGCTAATATATGCCTTCGTATCACAACAGCTTGAAGATTGATTAATATGAATCGCAAATGGTTCTTTTAAAGTTTATATTCGCCTTTTAAGATTAAAAGTAAGAGCTCTTGGCTCTAGGAGTTAGTCATCGAGAAATAAGTGTGCTTCTGTTTGGGCGTCCTAGGCCGCTCCCTAATTCAACTGCATGTTTGGCGCAGGGATATTTAACTGTGAGGTCAAATGAATGACGCTACATCGCAGCATACATCAGTGGCGCGAGATTCTAAAGTACTTGTAAGGAAGCTTGTTGTCCTATTGGACACAATGTCCGGACACTAAAAGTTCCGATATTAGGTTCAAAAGAGGATAACAGGAGAAATAACGTTTCATGAACTCGCATTGTTTGCATTAGCATAAAAGGGTGTTGAAGGGAGGTGAAAAGGGTAAATAAGAGAGATGTTAAGGGGTGTAGGAAGGCTTTGATCGTGACCAATTTGGTCTCGTGTGCTGTTAGAGGTATGAGAGCGGACGTCACTTTACGACTGCCCACACCGTGGAGGGATATTTCTTGAGGAACCCCAAATAGAAGTTTGATTAGTGTTAATCTCAGAGACCTGGAAGCGTGACGGCAGAGCCCAACAGACAACTGCTCGAGGCCGGTCACACAGCCTTTTTATTAAAGGTTTTCTGAGTATTAGCTCCACTCTTAAAATCCCTTAGTGGGCACCCTTACCACCGGAGACGGAAATTCATGAGGTAAGGTGAGGTGACACTTTTGTGATCGATCTTTCCTAGACCCTTCCTTCCATGTAAGAAGGCAGTAATGCTGCAGATGATATTTGTCCGAGGGAAATACCTTGCTGCTGTCACACCTCTCTACAGTCAGCAGTAGGTCGCCCTCAGACCTTAAGTAGTTGCTTTTAGTCTTATCGTTCTCCAATCTACATATTTGGCTGGCGTGGTAGAACCTACACGAACATATGTTCCAGCCAATATAGCTCGGCTGGGCCATCACGATAGGCAAGTCCGACCACCACGTCAGGATAACAGCTACGGTTGGGGACTCTGCTTAAAGTCTCTTAGTTTTTTACCATACGTAGGAGAATTTCATTGGGTTGCAGATTTCACTTTATGCTGATGTAAAAGTTTGACGTGAAACAACGGGAGATGCAGAAGCATGTACATTATAAGCTAACTTGGACATTCTGTTTAGTGCATCTAGAACATGACCAATGACTCCCGACCGAAGCTGCTACCTTGACGTGGTGGTCGGGCTTGCCTATCGTGATGACCCAACCGAGCTATACTGGCTGGAACACACGCTCCTGCAGGTCCTCAGTCAGTCAGTCAGTTGCAATGTAGAGCTTCGTACGTATGTACATAAGTTCATGTTGCCATACCACATTATTAGCACAGAGACGCAAATGTCAAATCAAATCCCATAGTGATAAAGATGGTAGAGGTATTAATGTTATAATAAAGAAGACTAGGGTTTAAGATATTATTCAAAAAATATAATTCAGTGAGATAAGTTTAGAAAGACAAAGGTAGAGGTGCTGGCTAATCCAGAAGATTAGGATTTGAGAGAGCTCAAAGAGTGGATGCACCTGCGCCATTGCAAACGATTTTGAGCCATGTCGTTCAAGGTCTCTAACCATTGATGACTTTCGTCTCGCGGACCCCAACCAGGTAGTCTACATCTACCAACATGACTCAGTCCACTTGTCAGTGACTTCATGGATTTCTGCCATGTTTTGGTCTGGCCGCCCCTAACTTTCTTCCAACCTACTCCTACACCACAAAACATAGCTCGTCGAGGCAGTCGGTGGTTAGGCATACGTAACACATGTCCCAACCACCTCAACTGATGAAGTTTCACCACTTCATCTATTGATCTGCCATCCTTACCTAGTACTCGTTTCCTAACGACAGCATTGTTTACTCGGCTGTCCCACGATATACGAGCAATGCTTCTTAAACATCTATGATCGAATACTAGTAACCTACAAACATCTTCTACTCTTAACGGCCATGTTTCACAGCCATATAAGAGAACGGAACGAACTGTTGCGCAGTACACCCGCCCTTTGGTTAGCGAACGGATATCTCGCCTACGCCATAAGTGACGCAGGTTGGCAAAAGCCAATCGAGCTTTCTGTATCCGAGCTGAGATTTCGTCAGTCACCAGACCGTCAGCACTGATGAGACTCCCCAGATAAGTGAAGCGTTCTACACGATCGACTACTTCACTCCCTATCACTAGTTCAGGCGCCAATGCAACCCAGTCTTGAAGCAACATTTTGCATTTGGAGGGGGAAAACCGCATCCCGAACATGCTCGCATTGTTGCTTATGGTAGTCAGAAGACTTTGCATTTTGTCAGCGTCTTCACCGAATAGAACTATGTCATCGGCATATTCTAGATCAGTAAGCGACTTTCCTGGTAGAAGGTCAACCCCTGAAAAATCTGACGAGCTTAATGTTAACTCTAAGAGGATGTCTACGACAAAGTTGAACAAGAATGGAGAGAGTGGACAGCCCTGACGGACACCACTTGATGTAGAGAATTCAGATGACAGTTCGCCATATGCTCTCACCCGACCAGTGGTGTTCGAGTAGAGTGCTTGTATAAGGTTAATGTACTTCTTTGGTACACCTTTCAATGACAGACACTGCCACAGAACCTCACGATCCACTGAGTCGAATGCCGCCTTAAGGTCGAGGAACACGACTATTGTCGGACGTCTAAATGTGTGTCTGTGTTCCAGGACCTGTCGTAGTGTGAAGATGTGGTCTATACAACCACGTCCAGGTCGAAAACCAGCCTGGTTTTCTCGAGTCTGCTCTTCACGAGCTCTAGTTAGACGTCTAAGTATAATCGAGGCTAACAATTTAGAAACTATATTAGTTAAACTTATTCCCCTGTGATTGTCACAAGAGGACTTCTGTCCTTTCTTGTAGATTGGGACAATTAGCGACTGAGACCAGTCAGATGGGATTACGTCCATTTCCCAGATTCTACCTAGGATCTCGGTCAGTCTAACCGTTAAAACTGGACCACCATCCTTAAACATCTCAGGGGTAAGCCTATCGGGACCTGCCGCTCTACCTCCCCTTAGATTTCCTATAGCTTTCTCAACTTCATGTAAACTGGGAGGACTTAAATCGATTTGCCATTCAGGATGACTGGAGATCGTGGGCAACCGAAGAGTGGCTGAAGGCCAGTTGAACTGATCCCTAAAGTGTTCTGCCCATCGGTCCAGCCTCCTAGATTGAGAATGGATAATAAGACCATCCTTTTCCGAGATAGTCTCACTCACATTCGGGTTCCTAATACCGGTTTCTTTAATAAGGCGGAAAATTTGTCTAGTGTTGCCGATCGCCGCTGCCTTTTCCATCGCTTTTGCTTTCGCCACCCACCACTGTTCACGGTCGTTACGTAGGCTTTTTATAAGTCTGCGCCTAAGCTGACTACGCTCTTCATCATGTTCAGAGTCAGGTGGGATGCGTTTTCGAGCATCCATCAGTTCGGTGGATGCGACTGATATCCACTGCTTCATCCTAGCATTGTGGTTTACCTTGCTAGCAGATACCATTGCTGTTTCCACAGCCTTCTTGATATGATTCCAACCTGCTTCAGGATGGGAATCACTTGCATGCCCGCCTAACTGTTTTTCTAGTTCCTCCTGAAATATTTTCTTAGCTTGATTATCATCAAGTAAAGCCCTAAGAGGCTTCCTTACGGTGTCTTTCCTACGTCCATCAAGCCTCAAACAAATACGTGCTCGCACTAGGGCATGGTCTGAATCTAAACATGTGCCCCAGAACGAGCGATAGTCCTCTATCGAACCCCTCCATCAGTGGCTGATGGCGATATGATCTAGTTGTGTCCAACGTTGAGACGACTTCGGAGGTTGCCAGGTCAAAAGGTGTTTTTCCTTATGCTTAAAATTAGTGTTTGCTAGAAATAGTTGGTTATCTGAGCACAGTTGCAACAGACGGTCGCCATTGTCTGTTCTTTGAGCCGCGAGACCGTAACATCCACCTAGATGTCTTTCATTTTCACTTAGTCTACCTACTTGTGAATTGAAGCTTCCACTGGTGTGGGCATCCGGAAGTGCATAAGCGCGCCCTCATACCCGGTCTAACAGTCACGAGAGAGCAAATTGTTGCAAAATCAAATGCCTTCCTAAATTCTGCTAATATCTTCTCATTATTCTGCGCACAACTTAACTCTTCTCACATCATTATTACATGTGCATCAGTTTTTAATGCAAACGAGGTCGGTTGCGAAACGTGCGTGTTCGCTGGTGTCTGCTTATACCGGGCGTTCCAAAGTTATATCATGTTGGATCCCAACAATTCCCCAAATACCCCATATTTCAGGTTTATGTTATCGGCATTGTGTCAAATTAGGGGCATAGCAGGCTATCATTAGCTAGGACTTTAGAATCTGGGGGGGGGGGGGGGGGGTTGGGGGGGGGGGGGGGGGCGGTCATCGATGTGTGGCTGCGTACATGTGGGGAAACGCGTCATAGGCAGTATGCGCGAGTAGCATCACCTCATTTGACCTGTCACCATGTCAAGATAAAGAAGGGCAGGCTCGATTCACCCTTCCGTGTATCCGTAGGGGCTCGGCTGATGCTGC